GGTCCCTGTGTTTTGCTTAGCTTAGCTTGTTCTAAGTAGGTGTTTTAGACCACTGAGCCATCTCACCAGCCCCTACCCCCTTCTTTTTGAACAATCATCTACCCAAGAGATAGCACGGCAGCAACTGGCATGTCATGACAAGCAGCCCATATTCAGAAGACCAAAATGACAGGCACTCCAAGCATGAAACTACTGTTACAGATTACCATCTTCAGTGCAGTTGCTTAGTTCACAGGTGTCAGTATATGTAGTTAGTCAGGGTGAGAATCTTTCCAATTAACTGCTAGATGGTTGCTCATTTTCTGTGTCTGACAGTTACAGGCCAAGCTATTTTCTGTCCATAAGATTCATGGGTGGCAGTGCTTTTTTCTTTGTGAAAGTATTGCTTTTTAGTAGAAGAGGAAACTGTAAAAAGGTTATAAATAATAGGTTATTAACCTCCTGGTTTACTTGATAGCATTAAACTACCTTCAGGCTTATCTTTTGATGTTAGGAACACTTAAATAGAAAAATACCGCTCTTGTTTGACTAATAAACATCTGAAATTAAGCAAAATACCAAAAAATTGTGAGACCTTTCAGACTCCAGGAAAAATAGCGTTGGGGTCTGGAGACACTGCGCAGAGGGGGGCAGGCAGCCGTGGAGTGCATGCTCTGCTACTTTCACTGAGAGCCCTTGCGTGAGTGGTTGGGCAGGACAGTATGAGGGATTTGAACGAGACCACGCATCAGCTGTTGGATTGAGATAGTTTGGGTGTGCACAGAATTGAGATAGTTTTGGGACGTGGAGCCAGGATCCACAGATGGGGACCCCGGTTCTGCCTCGAGCCCTGCCATGTCCCAGTCCCATGCTTTGCTTCCATATGTAGCTTTGGCCTCAGTCTCCCAACTTACTAAAGATCATTCATTGTTTTTGAGCTATTGGCTTTAAATTAGTTGAAAGCATCACTCATCTGAAAGCATTGGATTTAGTTCTACAAAAATGATCAGTTATCTTTTAAAGTATTTTAAAGTCTTCATTCAAAACGAAGAGCATCTAAGAATGTGGATTAAAAGGCTTTGTAACTGTCCCGTTTCATAGTCCCTTGAGGAGACTTCAGAGCAGTGCCCCTGCAGCTACTAGAAACGTGGTCCTTTTTTTTGTAGAACTGGGGATTGAACCCGGGCCCCTGCGCCTGCCAGGCAAGCGCTTATTCTACTGAGCCATCTCCCCGGCCCCATGTTCTATTTATTTTTTTGATTCAGAAATTCATTCCTGTTAAGATACGCTGAAAGATTATCTGGTCCCTTGTACTGGAAAAAAAAAAGAAAGGATAGATTGATTGATTAGTTATCTGGTACTCTAAACTAATTTGAAGACAATATAATGCAATATAATAATTATTGCTGAATTCCTATTTAAAAAAAAAAATACATTGAGGATTGAGGAGATAGCTCAGTGGAATAAGTGCTTCCCTGGCAAGCACAAAGCCCTGAGTTCAATCATCAGTTCTGCTAAAAAAAAAAAAAAAAAAAAATATTGAAAGATGATGACCTGAACTTTATATTCAAGGGGTGTCAGAAGGTTAGGGGTTTGCTTACTATTTAGAAACTGAAACCTGTACTGTAAGGGTTGACAAAGGACTGACTGGTTTGATTTTTTTGGTACATGTTTATAATATGTAACCAAAATATTCTTACTGATTGAAGGTCTTCTAAACAAAAACAAGACCCTTTTTGTTCCTGCCACCATGGAGCTGACATGTTGAAGGCATGGCCCGCTATACACCTCAGACCTGCAGCATCTGCATTCTTCCTTCCCTTCTGTCCTCCAGTCTCTACAGGCTTTAGGGTTCGTGACACTGGCATGGCTGATGTTGGCCGGGAGCAGCCTGTGGCTGGGTACTTCACAGCATTGTTGTGAGCTGCTTGTACCATAGAGTCCCTGAGAATATTCCAGCTGCTTGGTTTTTTTGTCTCAGCCACTCCTTAGGGTCCTCTTCCCTGCCCCTTTTGTAAGTGTATATTCCAGAAGTGTGTATCTTTCCTCCTACTTTCACGTGTCTGTGGACATAATGACTCCTAGGCATGAGCTGCAGTCACTTAGCACCTCGATTTGGGCTGGGTACCTATGAAGCCAGGCCGTCTGAAGCAGACCTTTACCTCTCTTGTGTCCCAGCTGATTCTGCTTTTCCTCCTGAGTTCTCAAAGTGAGAGCCAGAGAACCAGGACTTGGTTTCAACCATTCACTCTTGAGTTGGATTTAAAGAAATGGAAGGAGGGGCTGGAGAGATGGCTCAGTGGTCTAAAGCACCTACTTGGAACAAGCTTGTTAAAGCACAGGCACCGCAGTTCGATCCCCCAGCACCACATGCCAGCCAGCCCCAGCCCCCTGGTGGGCTCAGCTGGCTACACACACACACACACACACAAATGTTAAATAAATAAATAAATTTTAAAAAAAAAGAAATGGAAGGAGTAGAAACTACAGTATTTTCTGATATTAAATCTTAGATTAAAACCTAAAGATCAGCTTTTTTCTTTCAAAGAATAATCAAGAATCGCTGTTATGACTTTGTAAAAAATTGTGATCAACAGTAAAAAGTCTATTAGATTATATTCAGTTTATTTTTTTTTCATAGTATACGCATTTTTGGTTAAGTATAGCCATTAAAGAACAAATTAAATTAATTTTAAAAATATTTGGGACGTTTCCACAAGTAGCCTTCCACAAAATAATTTTTTTTTAGTAAAGTGTTTTAAGATATTTATAGATGCTTACAACTTAAAGATTCAGTTTTTAAAAAAATTCTGCTCAGGCCAGTGAGATTGCTCAGCAGTCTAAAGCACCTGCTTAGGCAGTCCCAGGGACCACTCTTATTGCCATCACCACATGCTGTGCCAGCCTCTCCCCACACACACACACACACACAAATCTGCTCAGTCTTGTTTTAAAGATACTACTTCTCATTACTATCATCTTTTTGTATTTTAAGGAAGGGTGTTCAGGGTCTCACTGCTAGATGGAACTCATAGTGATCCTCCTGTTTATAGCCTCCCAAGGGCTGGGATTGCAGGCATGCGCCACCACGCCCAGTCTCAGTTGCCTTCTCAGCGTGCCCCAGGGGTGGGGCCAACACCTGCAGGCTTGGGGATCAAATCCCCGGCCTCTGCGCCTGCTTGCAGGTGCTTTAATCCGCTGAACTATTTGGCCATCTTAAAATTTTAACTGTATTTAGGTCCACAGAAATAGCAATCTGAGCACCTGCCTAAGCAAGCACAAGGACCTGGGTTTGATCCTTGTACCATGTATTATGCCGGCCCCACCCCCAAGTATGCTGAGCCGGCTGCCAAAAGAGAAGAAGCTGAAACAGGAGGATCACTACAAGTCCAAGCTGTATAATGAGACCCTGTACCAAATACATTTTCTTTTCTTTCTTTTTTTTTTTTTTTTTTCAGAACTGGGGATTAAACTCAGGTCTTATTCTACTGAACTCTCTCTCCAGCCCTACGTTTTCAAAAAAAACTATATTTGAAAGCAGACATTAACTTTATATTAACTCACTTGCATAAATCTAAAATTGGTCTTTAGTAAATTGCACTATTAGATTTATTTTTAAGGAATTATTTAAGTAGTGATAAAGTGACTTTCTGGTATGTTCTTGTGCAGTACTTAGTGCTGGCCCAACCACAAATGTGTGTACTGTGAAAAAACTCAATGTGTGTGCCACCAAAAATACGTTTACATATTTATTGCTAAAAACATATGCTTATTGCTTTTATTGCTATTTGAGTTGTCAATAAACTAGATGATTTATGCTCTATAATTTTTAACATGAATCAGAAAAGATGATTCTGCCCTAATTTTAGATGTATTTTTGTTCTGAATCAGCTTGAACCATTTGAATTATTTATTTAGATATTTGTCTAATCTTTGAAAAATATTATTTAAAATGACACTTAGAAGACTACTAGCTTTGGAGTCCACTGTCAGTTCAAATCACTCAGTTACCTCCCAGTTTTATACCTTGTAAGTTAATTTGCCACCTTGGAAGTGGGATGATAGACTTTCTCTTAGCCAAGGTAGTTTGAGAAAATACAAAGTATTACTTTGCACCTACTAAATACTTTACTAATGCTAGTTAGTATTGATGATTTCAGCTCAGTATAATAGCCTAATATAAAAGCTGTTTATAAAGAACCTAAAAGTTTTAAGATTCCACATAACCTCCTGTTAAGATAGATTGCCGTATGTGCCAGATAAGAATGGTCATGTGTTTTAAAAATACATATTATATATTAAATAACGTATATTGATAAATTGACAAGATGCACGTGTGTGGGGTATATGGTTTTTTTATTTGCTTGTGTTTTTTTTTTTTTTTTTTGCAGAACCATGGATTGAACTCAGGCCCTTGCGCTTGCCAGGCAAGCATTTATTCTACTGAGCTACCTCCTGGCCTCTTGGGGTATATGTTTGATAGTTGGGAACTCACTGTGTTGCTTAGGCTAGACTTGAACTCCCGGACACAAGAAACTTCTTCCCTCCGCCTTCCCAGAGTGTAGCTGTTGGCATGTCATTAATTTTTTCTTACAGAAAACATAGGATACAAGTTGAGTTCCTGTTATCCAAAATGCTTGGAACCAGCAATGCTTGGGATTTTGGAAGACTTGAATATGCATAACACAGCAGCTTGGGGATGAGACTTGGACTAAACACAAGTCCATCTGTGTGGCCAGCGAGATAGTTCAGTGGTGTAAAGTACCTGCTTAGGCAGGCTTAGAGAGGCCAGTGGACTGAGGTTAGATCCCCTGAACTGCATGCCACGCCACCTCCGCCCTCAGGGTAGGCTGAGCTGCGCCCCCCCCCCGCCCCCGCCCAAAAAAAAAAGCCACCTGTATTTCACAGTCACCTTCTATGCATTATCTGGAAGTACTTTTATAAGACTTTGCTAGCATGCCTACATGTTGCATGTGACCAGTCATATCTGGGATTTTCTACCTGTGCTGTTCATTTGGTCCTCGAAAAGTACATATTATGGATCATTTCAGATTTTTGTATTTGATGATTAAGCAGTATAGAGTTGTAGTATAAGACAGTAGACAACTAGTTACATGTGGTCATTTCAACATAAGTGTACAAGGGCCAGCCAGATAGCTGAGCAGATTAAAGCACTTGCTTAGGCAGATACAGGGGTTGGAGGTTCAATCCTCGACCTGCCATGCCAGCCCCACTCCCACCCCTGAGATGGCAATTAAGATTAGGCGGAGTGGTGTGCACCTGTAATCCCAGCACTTGAGAGGCTGAAAACAGGATCACTATGAGTCTGATCTGTGTAGTAAGACCCTGTAGACCCTGGACTAAAATACAAAAAATAAATAAGAATAAACGTAAGTGAACAATAAGTCATTCAAGTTCAGGGTTACCGACCATGTTTGAGGTTGCTCAGTGGCCACATGGGACTAGGGCTTCCACGTTGGACAGCAGTGGATGTGGCATTTCCCCTGTCAGAAATTCCTCTCAGGGCTGGGAAGATAGCTCAGTAGAATAAGCACTTGCCTGACAAGCACGAGGGCCTGAGTTCAATCCCTGGTTCTGAAGAAAAAATAAATTTCTCTTAGATGTTGCTGATGGAGAGATTAGAGAAGGGTAGAATGATTTTGAAAAGTTAGTGCTTAGCAAGAATGCTCTTTTATACAATAACTTTCTCATTAACATGGTAGGCTTAATTGTAAGTCATAGAATTCTTTTATACAGCTTCCATTTGTGAAATACTGTCAGGCTCAGTCTCCATGCCTTACCATAGTATATCCTCTTCATTCTCTAGGAGGGCTCCTACAGGACATACACCATTTTGTCTTTAGTTCATAGTTGGAAAAATTGAAACATTAGGTAAATGTCCCAGAATGACAAGTGCTAAGGGGCTCAGCTGCGAGTTGAACCTGAGTCAGTCGGGCTCTGCTTCTGACCCTTTTCGGGCTTCCTCTTGGTAGCCGTCGCCCTAGTCATGCACACATTTCTCCTCTTTGCTCCTAGAAGCCCCAGTAACCTATTTGGGTATCTGTTGAGTTCAGAGCTTTTAAATGCCTTTCTGAGCCTCCTAAGAACCCAGAAATCATGCTGGGTGGTTCTCGGTCTCCAATAAGGGAATGGGGATCCAAAGGAAGTAGTTAAGAAGATTGCCAGAAACATTAATGATTATGACTGAGAAAGAATCGAGACTCGTGGTTGGGTTGCAATGCCTGTTTTCTTTGTGGTATGCTAAATTGTTTTTCTGATAAGAGACTGGTGTTATAGTATTCTATTTTTCAATATACCAGTGTAAAATTGATTGTTTGGATTTACAAATACATTCAAATTTTATTTTTAAAGTTTGTGATGACATAACCACAGAAATTTTATCAGTCATTTAACCTTTTTCCTTGTTGCACTGTTCCATCTTGGAAGAATAATTATGCCTGGGTTTTGTTTGTTTGTTTGTTTTAGGAGGCAGTTCCCCTGTTACACTCAGCAGATACTCACGGAGCATTGTAACGAAGTGTGGTTCTGTAAATTCTCTAACGATGGCACTAAACTAGCAACAGGTTCGAAAGACACAACAGTTATCATATGGCAAGTTGATCCGGTATGTACTCTAGTGTTGTGCGGGTTTTAGTTGCAGAGGGGAGTGCAGTGTGAATCTCACCTGCTGGTCACCTGTGTTTGTAGTATATGTCAATTCTCTGTAAGCGCAGTTTTATTTATGTTTGTCACTTCTTCCTATATTATTTAGATAATATATGTAGATTAATTTTGGAATTGTTGTTTGTCTTGGTGAACATGCCACGTCTGTGTATATTCATAGTCCTGGTAACTATTACATCCTGCTTTTAGGTAAGAAAACATGTAGAAGTTGCATGCCCAGCCTTCCACAGCTGGTGAATGACAGAGTTTGGCTCAAGGAATATTTTGGCTACAAAACTACTGAGATTAACGTCATTGCCAACCTGTATTTTTGTTAATACTTAATTTATAGGCTCTGCATGCCCATTCTGTCCCAAGGTAGAACAGGCCCATTACCCTGTGCCTTCTAAAGCCCTTCGTTGCCCAGCAGGTCTTCTTGTGTGACCACTGCCCCCCTTTCCCAGTGATACTTGTGAAAATTACTGCATTCTGGAATTTTACCTATTCCCCCCAAAATCTGGGCAGTCATGTGAACTTTGAATATGTTAGTGTAAAGGGACTGTATGTGTGAAGGTGTAACTATAGTATTGAAATCTTTGTTTCCAACTTTGTGTTTTATTTATTTTTTTAATTTTATTTATTTATGTGGGGGGGCAGCTCAGCCCACCAGGGGGCGGGGCTGGCTGGCATGTGGTGCTGGGGGATTGAACCCTGGTCCCTGTGCTTTGCTAAGCTTGTTCTAAGTAGGTGCTTTAGACCACTGAGCCATCTTACCAGCCCCCTAACTTTGTGTTTTACAGGATTGTATTTTATTGTTAAGGTCCATAAGACACTTAGTTTTTTGCATTGAATGTAGTTAACAGTTTGAAAGCAAATCTTCTGGATGCATGGTGGTGAAGCTTTTAGGGCTTTCAGTGATAACAGACTGCAGGCTGTGGCACGTGTGCCATAGGTTCACCACCACAGACCTGGACTGTCACTGTGCCTGAAGATTTTTTCCTGGAAGATGTTGAGCTAATCAGAAAATTTGACTTGTTTACATCACATTGCCCTGATACTACTGATCTAATGTAATACCCCATGCCTGTTAGCACCCTCCCAAAGAAGAATCACTTAATTATTGCTTTGTCAGTTTTGTCACAACAGTAGAGACTTGGACTAGGGAATTGGGTGGATGATAGCTTAGTAGAGAATGATATGATGTGGTCACTTCTAATCCCAGCATATGAGAGGCTGAGACAGTAGGATCATCATGAGTTCAAGACCAGTGTGAATCTACATAGTGAAACTCTGCAACATCAACAAAAGAATGTTGACCTAAAGGTAGCATGTGATGCAGGAATTCCACTTCTGTGTATATACAAGAGAAAGCCATACCTCCACACCAACGTACATACTCCTAGCCACATGGGATTGAAGGGGTCAAAAGTAGAGACCAGTGTTCAGCAGCTGATGAATGGATAAACAAAATACAGAGTGTCTGTTAAACAGAATGTCAGTCCACAGTAAAAAATGTACTCTACAACCTCGATGAACCTTGAAACCGTTAACTCGTGAAAGACGCAAGTTAGAAGACTGCGATATGTGCAGATCAGGTATAGTTACATTTGTATGACACGTCCAGAATGGGCATATCCGCAGAAACAGGAAAGTGCTTCAGATGAGCGAGGCTGCTACTGGGTATGGGATTTTGGAGGAAAGATGATCACTGAGATGTATACTGCAGAAGGCTGAATTCTGTGCTGTTGTATCTCACTGAAGCTGTTAAGCAATGAGTTGTTACACCTTTCTGCTTTCTGTTCCCTTGAGCATCTCCACTGGGCAAGCTCTGGATCATCTTTGTATTCCAGCTAGCATACAGAGACCTCAGTGTCATGGGTAGTTGGTAGGTGTAAGAGTGTGAGCGAATCTTTATGAAGCAGACTGAGGTTTAATCAGCAAAGATTGGTGTGAAACCTCCTTGAATTACTTTGTCAGAGTACATGTTAACTCTTTACATTTTTAGGGTAAGAAACAATGACTTTTATAGATGGTACTACCTGAGTTGTCTGTTTTTTCTTCTAGGATACACACCTGCTAAAACTGCTTAAAACATTAGAAGGACATGCTTATGGAGTTTCTTATATTGCATGGAGTCCAGATGACAACTATCTTGTTGCTTGTGGCCCAGATGACTGCTCAGAACTTTGGCTTTGGAATGTACAAGTGAGCGCGTTCCACCCTTGGTTGCTGTAGCCTTTCATAGGCAGAATCGTGATGTGCTTACTGTAACTTTATTTCTGGTGAATACAGCAGACTCACATACCCTGAGAGTTCCTGTATTGTTTTTTGTTTTGGTGGGGTGGTTTTCTGTATTTTAGGGAAGGGTCAACAGGGTGTTCAGGGTCTCACTACTAGGTCAGACTCGTAGTGATTCTCCAGTTTACAGCCTTCCAAGTGCCAGCTTAGAGGCACACTCCACCATGCCCTGTCTCAATGGCTGAATTCAATGTGCCCCAGGGCCGGGGCCGGCACAGCCGGCCCGGGGATCAATCCTATGTTGTATTTTCTTGTAAAAGAAAGTTCAAGTGGAACTCAAGCATCCAGATTTATGAATGATGAATAAGGATTTTCAGGATGTTTCATTTTGTTCTGTCAAATGTGCACTATTTCCTGAGTGTCTTAGAAAAGATTCTGTGGTGTTTTGATAGTTTCATAGTTGTATTAGCATCATGTTATGATTTCTATTCTGGTGGCAGTAGCACCATCTTCTTACCTACATTTGGTATCCTGAGCTACTTTAGTGAAGCAAAATCCTGCTTTCAGCACTTATTTTATTAAGGGCATTTATTTTTGTAGTGTATTATTTTTATTACTTTCTAAATGAAAACTTGGAGCTTTTCCAGGGTCTCTTTTTAGAAGAACTCAACATTGTACTTATTGCAATTATTATTATTATTATTATTGCATTTGATTGTTACAAGGTCTCACTGCTACGCAGCTCAGACTCACAGTGATCCTCCTGTTTTCAGCCTCCCCAGCACTGGGATTACAAGTGTGCGCCACTATGCCCAAACTCTGTGGCAGGTTCAGCCCACCCTGGGGGCAGGGCTGTCACAGCATGTGGTGCCAACGATTGAACCCAGTTTCTGCATTTGCCTAAGTAGGCACTTTATTCAGCTAAGCTATCTCACCAGCCCTTACTCAGCTATGTATGTTTTAAAATTCCTGCAGTTAACAATTTCTTTAAAAATTAAACTTCCGGGCTGGTGAGATGGCTCAGTGGTGTAGAGCACCTACTTAGAACAAGCTTGGCAAAGCACAGGGACTGCGGTTCAATCCCCCAGCCCCACATGCCAGCCAGCCCCACCCCCTGGTGGGCTGAGCTGGCCACACACACACACACACACACAAATAAAAAAATAAATAAACTTGCTTAGGATTACAGGCTAAGGGATGGTTTTTGCTTTTTTAACGCTTTGGCAAGGGAGTGGTTAGGCTGTGGTTTGACTATAAATATATAACTTGAGAAGATAGGATCCCAGTGCAGGGAGCAGCAGAAGTTTGAGTTTGTTCTGGTCAACTTAGTAAGCCCCTGTCTCAGAATTTATTTTTATTTTTTATTTTTTTTTGCGGAACCAGGGATTGAACTCAGGCCCTTGCGCTTGCCAGGGAAGCACTTATTCCACTGAGCCATCTCCCCAGCCCCTGTCTCAGAATTTAAGAGAAAAAAATAATAATAAAAGGGACTAGGAGGGAGATGGCTCAGTAGAATAAGGCGCAAGGGTCTGAGTTCAATCCCCGGTTCCACCAAAAAAATAAAAATAAAGTTGTCTAAAACTTTTCCTCTTTTTTTTTTTTTTTTTTTCAGAATTGGGGGTTGAACTCAGGCCCTTGCACTTGCAAGGGAAGCGCTTATTCCACTGAGCCATCTCCCTGGCCCAGTTGTCTAAAACTGAAAAATGAATTTTGCGGCTGGGGAGATGGCTCAGTGAAATAAGTGCTTCCCTGGCAAACACTAGGGCCTGAGTTCAATCCCCGGTTCTGCAAAAAAATAAAAAAGTAAAAAAGGGACTAGGCATGTAGCTCAGTGTGAAGTCATTTGGTTGAGTCTGTTGAACTAAGAAAGAAACTCTGGGCTGGCCAGATAGCTCGGCAGGCTAAAGCACCTTCTTAGGCAGAGTGCAGTGGCCGGGGTTTGATCCCCAGCATGCTGTGCTGGCCCTGCCCCAGGGGAATGCTGAGATGGCAGTTGAGACTAGGCATGGTGACACACGCCTGTAATCACAGAGCTTGAGAGGCTGGAAACAGGAGAATCGCTGCAAGTCTGATCGGTGTAGTGAGATCCGCTGGACCTTATAAGACCCTGTACTAAAATACATTTAAAAAAAAAAATTCTATGGAGATGAACTAAAAAAAGCCTCCAAAGAGATAACCCAAAGATAGTACAGACTTGAAAATGGAATGACATGATTTTAATTCAGCAATTGTGATAGTAAGATTTCCTTACTTCTCAGTCAGCTGCTTGCATTTCAACCCCAGATAGTTATTTATTTATTTTTGGTAGGGTATCAGGAATTGAACTTCAAACCTTCAGTTTGCCAGGCAGGCACTTATGCCACTAAGGTATATCCCCAATCCTCAACCCTAGCTTTTTTTTGAGAGTTTTTATTAAGAAAAGTTGACGTTCTAGTGCCACAGCAACTCCAGTGACACATGGCTGACTGACACTAGGGTCTTTCAGTTTCAGGAATTGGGGACAAATGGAAAAAAAAAGTTGAGAAAATACACTTACGATAGATGTGATAATTCCTAGCATTTTCGATTTGTTATGTGTGTATGGATAGATACATAGGTAGATAGATGCATAGAAATAAACATGCATATATATTTATATCCATCATATGTAAAACATTTGAGAGTAAATTAGATATATTTTACCTTTTAAGTACTTTTTTGTTTTGTTTTGTTTTGTTTTTTTGGTTTTTTTTTTGTTTGTTTTTTTGACGGAACCAGGGATTCAACTCAGGCCCTTGTGCTTTTTAAACACTTTAACCTTTTTTTCCCCCCCATAATTTTATTGATAAATAGCAATGAGACAGTTTCAAACCAAATTGGTAGGACAGTTTCAATAATTAACACATTGCATACATTCTTCCTAGTGGTTATTTGCTGTACAAGATGCGGACCTGATATCCTATTTACAAACACTGTTAGAACAAATCCCTCTATTCATTAAGAGAATGTAACTATATATCTATGCTAACCATTTTGAATACACAGATACAAGATGGACATTCATCTGTATCCTCTTTTTTGTTTAGTTCCGTCATTTGAGTATTGTAGGTGTGTTAACTCAGCAAAACATTCCAAGAGTCCAGGAGTCCATAATAATATTGGGTCTTCTACTTGACTGGCAGTGTCAGAAATTGTTGGCAAGAGTCCCCTGTAGCTCCACATAACAGCATGGCTTTACTTCTTTTTTTTTTTTTTTATACTTTTCTGCTGGATGGTTAAGACTAAGATAAAGCAAGACCTATGCAACAAGAGTTGTAGTTTTTGGGTCTGATGAGGTCAGTGAAATCCCCTCAGGATTTATCCTGAGATCCTGTACCTCAGATTGTAGATCCTTTGTCAGTGTCAGCCATGTGGATGAGTCACGGCCATTGCTTGGCCAATGTGCTCTCTGTGAAAGCCTGAGAGAGTGTTTTCTCTCCATGTGAGTCTCCTTAGGCACATTCTGTGTCATCGATCACTTTCCTCTTTGGCCCCATAATCTCCTTGATCAGAAAATTCGGGACACTAATGAGTTATATGACATTACGTAAGTACTTTAATCTTGAACCTTCTTGAAGAGGACATTACTGTACATTAACGGAACAGCATTATAATTCTTTATTCATTCAGTTATTCCCATAATGTTTTATGCCATTTTTATCAAGTTCACAATTAGTGTTTTGTTTGTGATTGGGTCTTGGAGGTAGCAAAATCCAGAATAGAATAAATGGCCTTTTTTCAGTAAAACAGCTTAAAGTGAATATGACCTATAAGATAAAAGAATTTTTTTTTCCTTTTCAGTGGGAGAAAGTATGTAGTCTTAATCCTATTAAAGAAAATTTGTGGCATGTCTGTGTTCTTCCAGTTACTATTGAAATTTTCTCAGTCTGTGTTATAATTTTCACAATGCACTACCTTATTTACTTAAACTTGCTCTGAAAGAATGGTCTTTTAAAATCAGTTTCTATTCTTTTTGCATTTTTAGATAGTTTCCTGGATTCTGATAGCCCTGGGGTGGGTACTTTTACTGTTTGGAGCATAATTAAACAGCCATTTCTGCTTTTAGAGCTCAGTGTGTTAACGTGTGCAAATAGGCAGTACCAAGGATTTATTTAGCTGTTACTTGGCATACTTGCGTTTCTGCTCCTTTAACTGTCTTATGTGTCAAGTGACCAAAAGGTAAATAGGTGACTAGCTCTGAGTTAGTAGAAATGTGTAGGCTGCAGAAGCTTAAGTGAAAAGGGTATGTCTGGCTTTCTGCACGTCACTGCTTTGCCCCAATTCCTAAAGATAGTCTTTGTTTTCATTCTTTGTTTTTGCTTCTGATTACCCATTAATCACAGGAAAACTACACTCATGTACATTTTTTAATCACAGTGATGGCAGCTATTATTTCTCAGATCCTGCATGTATTCCCTGAACAACATGAAACAAATGTGTGCCTTCTGAGTATGTAACAGGAGGCTATCTCAGAGTTTTGCTTAGCTGGAAATAAACATAGACTGGCCATGCACTTTCTTTGTTACTTTTGACTAAAAATAGTTACTACAAAAAAAGTTATTAGAAAAATAATGTTCTTGGACTGGCTAGGTAGCTCAGCGGACTAAAGTGCCTGCTTAGGCAGACCCAAGGGGCCACAGTTCAATCCCTGGTGTGCCCTGCTGGTCCCACCCCTGGGGCACGCTGGGACTGAGCATGGTGGCATGCTTCTGTAATCCCAGCACTTGGGAGCCTGAAAACAGGAGGATCACTATGAGTCTAACCTGTGTAGTGAGATCCTGTGGACCCTGTAGTAAATACAAAAAAAGAAAAAAAGAAAAAGAAAAATAATGTTTTCTGTCTTGCACCTCCCCCACTGTGACCATTTCCGAGTGTAAATTAGTCATGATAGAGTTAAGGGCGTAGTTACACTAACGATTGACTCTGTTCTCAAGAAACTGCTAATTGAGCTAACTGCAGGTTTAGAGTAAAATTTATAAAAGAACTTTCGACTGAGAAAGGTAACTCAGGATTGGGTATGTGGCTTTAAGCTCTTCAGTGTTTTGTTTTGGAAGAATTACCTACTTTTAATGAACGTAAGTAGTCCAGATGAACAGTTTATTTTCTTATTTATTTCTGTATTTTAGGGAAGGGTCCACAGGGTGTTCAGGTTCTCACTGCTAGATTGGACTCGTAGTGATTGTCCTGTTTGCAGCCTCCCAACAGCTGGGATTACAGGTGCGCGCCACCATGCCCAGTCTCAGCGGGGTCTCAGTGCACCCCGGGGGCGCTTGCAGGTGCTTTAATCTGCTGAGCTATTTGGCCGGCCCAAGACGAGCAGTTTATTAACATTTATTTTGTCATACGTCCTCTGGGTCGACTGTGCCAGACATTGTTCAGCCTCTTGCTCTCCTAAGTCCCTAATTTCTCTCCAGATATTACCCCCCTTTTTATTCCTTGGTAAAGTCAGTTAAAATGGTTCATTTCTCTGATTGCAATTACCAAACTAACCAGATGTCACAATTCTTTTTGTATGCATTGTTTTCTTTCTCTTTTTAAACATACTGTTTCTCTTTACAAACTCCTTCTCGAGGGCATCGCAAACATCTTACTCGTGGCTTTATTTCCTTGTAGACGGGAGAACTGCGGACAAAAATGAGCCAGTCTCATGAAGACAGTCTAACAAGTGTGGCTTGGAACCCTGACGGGAAGCGCTTTGTGACAGGCGGTCAGCGCGGGCAGTTCTATCAGTGTGTGAGTGTGGGAGCCCCTCCCCCACATCCCCTGGGTGAAAAGAAAGTTTAGGGGTTTGGTTTTAGTAAAAACAGTTGCATTGACTCAGTCTGGGAGCACACCTGTGGTCCCAGCCCAGCCGTTAGGAGGCTGAGGTAGGAAGACACCATGAATTTTGAGGCCAGCCTGGGCTAAAGGGTGAGTTCAAGGCCAGCCTGAACACATAGCCCTGTCTCACAAAAAAAGTCAATAGCTACTTTGCCACCCTACTAAATAAAGGCTATGCAGTAGAATATTGGCGCTATTTGGCTGGCCCAAGACGAGCAGTTTATTAACGTTTATTTTAGAAAAAAAAAAACATTTATTTTGTCATATGTCCTCTAGGTTGACTGTGCCAGACGTTGTTCAGCCTCTTGCCCTCTCAAGTCCTTAATTTCTCTTCTCAATATTAACCCCCCCTTTTTATTCCTTTTGGCAAAGTCAGTTAAAATAATTCATTTCTCTGATTGCAATTACCAAACTAACCAGATCCCAGTTTTCATCCCACTTTTTTTTTTTTGGTCTTTTTGAGGCAAGGTCAGGCTGGGCTTGAGCACACTTTGTAGCCCAGCCCGGTCTCAAACTCAGCAGTCTGCCTGCCTCAGTCTCCCCCAGTGCTGGGATTACAGGCATGTACCTGCCTCTTCTTTCATCCTTAATCATTTTAAGTGTTTGCTAGATGCACATTAGTAAACTATTTCAAATGCTTATATAAAATAATGTATTTTGAGTTTAGAAAAACATTATTTGCTAATCATTTTTGTTCTTATGAAATAAGTTTGTAATTTATAGGAATGTATTTTTTGAGGTTTTTAGTAACAAAGTATGCTGAGTTTTGTGAATTGACTTTTAAATATTGAATAAACAAAACGATTGGTGGCTTGGCTTGCCGTCAGAGGTCCCGGCACAGCACAGAGACAGCACGGAAGGGCCTGTGCCTGCATCTGGGATGGCCCGAACGCAGTCCATGTCTTCACTGACGTTCAGATCCTGTCTAACGTCTGTTTAAGACTAAAGTTAGGTAATAGGTCATTTAGTATAAATAAAGCTCACTTATCACAAGCACTCTAACCATTATAAGTTACCAGTTCCTTTTGTTAAGCTGTCTCAAGACTGGCAGAGGGGCCAGGGAGATGACTCAGTGGAATAAGCGCTTCCCTGGCTAGCGCAAGAGCCTGAGTTCAATCCCCAGTTCCGCCAGAAAAAAAAAAAGAGAAAAAAAGACTGGCAGAATTTATTATTGTCTTATCTCAGTATGGCTAGAAGCCATTAGTTTCCTAGGAGTTTTCTGGCCATGAAATGGCCATATAGGTTCCTTTTGACTCTGCATCCTCATATGGCTCTTACACTTCAGGATATAGCATTTGGTCATTCTCGCTAATCTATGAAATGGGAATTCTAATGCCTGTCAGAACTTTGTATGTTTTTGGTTGAAATAGTCCTAGGTGAGGTGTATTTTTTGGTTTTGGTGCCGAGGCCCTAACCCAGGACTTCCAGCTTGCTTGGGCAGTGTTCTCCCGCTGAGCTGAATCCCCAGCCCCACCTCTCAGAACTTTGAAGAAAGTTTGAAAAATGTCTGCAAATTTCTCAAGCTCTAAATAGAGCTATGTCTTAGTAACTGTCTTCCTTATCACAGCTTCTCTATGGGACAAATCCAGCACAGTCATTCTCTGCATTGGTTCCAGAATATCCTCAGATACGAGAATCTGTGCAGGCTGCAGTCCTTTTATGCAGAGTGGCCCTGTAATTTCAGATCTTCGTAACGTACTTTAAATCCTCTCTGGAGTATTCGTAGTACCTAAAGCAATGTAGGTGTGGGCAGAGTAAGTAGGTCTTATGTTGTGCTGACTAGGGAGCCGCGGGCGGGAGGAGCTTCAGGCGTGATCATGCAGATGACGTTTTTGCCTCTTAGGCATGTTCCATCTGTGATTGGTTGAACCATGAGTGCTGGCCCCATAGATGAGAAAGGCTATGATGAATTTTAAAGAAATGTTTGAATTGTTTTCTATTATAATTGAGACTTTAATGAGCTTAGATTCAAAACATGAAAATGTTCTGCTTTTAGTTTATGCATAGTGGGTTATTGAAGGGAGGTGGATTTACAAAATGTCTTTCTACCCTCCTTTAGATATTGTCACAAAGTTTGACCCATATTCAAATTTTCATGGTTAAAAGCACATTCCTAAAAGCTCCTGGTTAAGGTTCAGGCAGCCAGCCCTGCTCAGTAAAGGCTTACCAGTGGTTTCTGCACCTAGGACTTGGACGGGAACCTCCTGGACTCCTGGGAAGGAGTGCGTGTGCAATGCCTTTGGTGCCTGAGTGATGGGAAGACCGTCCTGGCATCCGACACACACCAGCGGATTCGGGGGTACAACTTCGAGGACCTTACAGATAGGAACATGTAACTACCCTGTGCTTCCATTCAGCAGCAGTTATATTAGAATGTGTATGTGGTAGGGCTTTTCCAGATGAACTAGATTTTTTTTTTTTTTTAATATTTGGTTTTTATTTGATTACTTGGTAATTTTGGTTGGTAATATGTATTTAATCATTAACTCATCCAAGTGTGATGGTGCATGCCTATGATCCTAGCACTCAGGAGGCTGAGGCACAAGGATCATCACAAATTCAAGGCCAGCCTGGGCTACATAGTGAGTTCAAGGCCAGCCTGGACTACATAGTAAGACCCTGTCTCAAAAAAAAAAAGAGTTAAAAATCATTATCTCAGATTCTTAATTGCATTATAGGGTATGATAATGATTGCAAGCAAACTTGGACTTAACGCAATAGTATTTTATGTTCTGATATTTTTACTGACTTGACTCCTTAATTGGTTGTTTCTGACAAATTATTTTCTGGTTACAGAGTACAAGAAGATCATCCTATTATGTCTTTTACCATTTCAAAAAATGGCCGATTAGCTTTGTTAAATGTAGCAACTCAGGTATGTTTATTAATATCTGCAGAAAAATTTAGATTAGTACATATTTTAATTACAATTTTAAATACACATAGAAACAAACTCTACTTACTAAATTTTAATACTTGTATTTTATCCTAATTGTGTAGAATATTTAGTGTTTTGCATAAATAAAAATGTTCGATCAGGCAAAAGATACTTTCAAAAGTCGTTAGGGGATAGAATAAATACTTATATTCTCTATTACCTGCAGGGAGTTCATTTATGGGACTTGCAAGACAGAGTTTTAGTAAGAAAGTATCAAGGTGTTACACAAGGGTTTTACACGATTCATTCATGCTTTGGAGGCCATAATGAAGATTTCATTGCAAGTGGGAGCGAAGGTGAGTTTGTGCCTACCGTTGTGTTCCTGTAGATTGATGAGCTTAGTTTTGGAGCTCCCAATTTCTGGAGGTAGTAATATCTCTAGACAAATGGGTGTTACTAAAAATTTTCAGTTATTTATACGTCACACTACTAATTGCCTGATTTAATCATTCCTTTTTATCACAAATCAGCAGTAGGTACATGTTAGGATCTTCCAGACTCTCTGGATTTTTTTTTCTTTTTTAATTTGGCACTGAGAATCAAACTTGGGATCTTGTGCTTGCCAACCAGGTGCTGTGCTGCTGAGATATATCCCTGACCTCATGGATGTCTAACTGGCTTATTTTTATTTATTTTTGAGAGAGAATCTCATTGCATACTCCAGGCGCTCTTGAAGTTCCTGTAGAGCTTAGGCTGGGCTTGGACTCAAAATCCTTTTGCCTCAGACTCGGGGCTGGGCTACCACACTTTGCTTCTGACTGACTTTGTTAGTGTTTTGGGTTTTTTTGTTGTTGGCTGGCTCAGGCTGCCTTAAGAGGTTTCAACACATTAAGTTTTCTTTTGGCGGAACCGGGGATTGAACTCCAGCCCTTGCACTTGCCAGGGGAGCCCTTATTCCACTGAGTCATCTCCCTGGCCCTTGAAGCTCTTTTAACCCCTGTGCTGCATTTAGTCCTGCTTCTGGTATATTTTCCCCCACTTTGTTATGGTCCAGGATCCTCCATACTTCTAAAAATGTATCTCCTAGAGATGCTTTAAAATAAGAATGCCTACTCTTATTAGTAGTGGCACCGAACTTAAAAGCCCCAAGTAAGCATGATGAATTCCACAATTAAACCATATCACCTTCTAATTGTGGAGTGAAGACGGCACTTTTCCCACCGTGCATACACCATCTCCCCATGCGATCACAGTAGCTTGTGTGCCGTTTCTGGCAAGCAGTATATTTCAGAGATCCACCAAATCTCTAAAAGTGTGCCTGCCACTGTAAAAGAGAGCAGCTGGGAACCTTTTCCCCAGAAGAGTTGTACTCTCCAGGCTTTTTCATCGTGCTGGTAATACATAGAAAAACTACTTATGTTTTGGTCTTTGGAGAGTGAATGTCTTAGGCCGTTACAGCCAACGGAACTATGTTGATCTCAGCTCCATCATATCTTGTGCTTGCTCTCCTCGGCAGACCCTCTCCCTCTGGGTGTGTTCTCAAAAGCAGTCTCCCCTAGTGTGACCTACCTCAGTGGCCTCTGTCCCACTCCTTTGCATACTTCTTTAGTTCATGGAGAAGCATACTAATGTGCCGTCTCTTCTTCCCCAATTTCATTATATGCAAGAAAAATGAACAAATTCCTTGTAACGAAGATAAACTTGGTTCTTTAAATGGTACATTTTAGCTTTTACTTTGCAAAAAAACCAAAAATTAAAAACAGAAAAATCAAATCAGAGCTTTTTTAATCTTAAAACTGAAGTTTTAAAACCACAGGGCATTCTCAGTAAAATTTCTCCAACAACACACCCCCAGAGAGCCTCTGTAGGGATCTGTTGGTTAGAGGAACGGCGGCAAGGAGGAGAAAAGAGATGAGCAGACAGAAGCTGGGCCAGGTGGTCCCTAGGCTGCCTGATGGGCCACACACACTCAGCTGCACAACCAAACCTATGTTTATTTATACTTTGGCAAAGTTAGTAACATGACACAGGTTGCCTAACGACTAATAGCTGACCTTAACTAGACTGGATGTTTATCTCAGGACTGAGGTAGCTTGTTTGCTTTAGGCACTGAGGCCTAGTCCTGCCTACACACGTTTGATCAGTTTCCTAACTTCTACATTGATCTACCTCACTGACCGTCATTGTTGGCGTAAATGCTTTTCTAGTTTACCCTGAGAACCGTCACTTGTAACGCAAGGTGTTTGTTGTGTTCAGAACTTAACACACGAACTTAAGCAGTCCCTTCCAACAAGAGGTGGTAGGTGTGCCGCTCAGCAGGTGCCAGACTTTCAGCAGTCCATGGAGGGAGGGTGAAGAGGGCGCAGGACCCAGACTTTCAGCTAGGGGCTTTAGTTTTGTTGTTTGGGTTTTGCTTTCAGTTGGCTCATGATAAACAGAGCTGTAGGGAATCTTGATTTCCTGTGTGTGTGTTTCCTATACCCGCAGTAGTAGGGATGGATCACAGGATGTTCTGCCACTGGACTACATGGCACTATATCCCCTTTTTATTTTTGAGATAGGGTCTTGTTAAATTTGCCTCGGTTGGTCTCCAGCTTGCCATTCTCCTGCCTCAGCCTTCAAAGTAGCTGAGGGGGCTGGGGAGATGGCTCAGTGGAATAAGCGCTTCTCTGGCAAGTGCAAGGGCCTGAGTTCAATCCCCGGTTCTGCCCAAAAAAAAAAAAAGCTGAGATTGGGGGCCTAACCGTTAGCTCAGATGTTTAAGTGCCTGTTCATGCAAACACAGTCAGGCAGCCTGAGCCAGCCAAAAAAAAAATCTTTATCAACTTTGGGCTGGCCAAATAGCTCATCAGATTAAAGCGCCTGCAAGCAGGCTTAGAGGCCGGGGTTCAATCTCGGAACCCTGGGCTTGCCCTACCCACAGGGCACATTGAGACTGGGTGTGGTGATGGGCGTCATAATCCCAGCTCTTGGAAGTCTGTAAACAGGCGGATCACTACAAGTCCGATCTAGTAGTGAGACCCTGAACATCCTGTAGACCCTTCCCTAAAATTAAAAATAAATAAATAAATAAATTGAGATTACAAGTACGTACCACTGAGTCTATGGGGAATCTTGTTTTGGAGGTATGTTGGGAGTTTATTTTTTGTCATTTCCTAAGATTATAAATAAAGCTTCACATAATGGTACAGATAAGAGACTATATCTTCTAGACTTGCTAGTAAACTCTTCAATAGGGCTGTCTAGACTGAAACCTTTTAGCCATAAGCAGGCCGCTCACCTGCTCAGCGCTCCATCTCCGTCTCATAACAGCATTGGGGATGAGCGTAATACCTACCTCATGGGACGGTGCTGAAGGTACAGAACTTAGTGCTAGGAGCTCTAGGTACAGTGTTAGCGATTGTCTGCACTGAATTTGGATACCCTGCTTTTTTCTAGTGAGTGATGATTCTGTAAAATAACTCCCTTAACTTCTCCCTGAATCACTGTGTCTTCAGATCACAAGGTTTACATCTGGCACAAACGTAGTGAACTGCCAATTGCGGAACTGACAGGGCACACGCGCACAGTGAACTGCGTGAGCTGGAACCCACAAATCCCATTCATGATGGCCAGCGCCTCTGACGATGGCACCGTTAGGATATGGGGGCCAGCCCCCTTTCTAGACCACCAGAATATTGAAGGTAACGTACCTCAGTGTCCCTTGCTCTACACACACGATGTTTGCTTGCCGTGAGGGTGCCTGCTTTACATGCGCAGTAACTTAGGCAGAGTGCAGGGGGTTGATGCAGCTCTTGTTACACAACTGACCCCCACAGAAGGAATGTGAGGAATCAGAGGTGCCCACAAGGCCGGTGGGGTGGGGACAGTATGTTACCTCATTCCGTCTGACCAGCTGTTGGCCAAGATCTTACCTGAAAATCATCTTGGTTCTGCTCCCTAAGTGTAGTGCGTGCAAGCTGGGGAGGCTCCACGTTTGAGCCCAGCCTGAGCAACTTGTCCAGATCCTGTTTCAATATTTAAGAAAAGGGGAAGGGGCTGAAGATAAGGGTCAGTGCGGAGGTCCCAGCTTCAGTCCCCTGAGCCACTAAGTATACAAACACTGAAGAGAGGTATGATGGCATACAGGTAACTGCTATACTTGGGCTGAGGCAAGAAGACTGCAAGTTCAAATCTGGTTTCAGAAATGAAGGGCTTGAAGTAGCTCTATGGAAGACACATGTTAGTGCCATGTCGCATGCTGACATGAGTTAGGCCTGATGGGTAGGGAAAGCAGAATTCTAGAATTCAGCGTGTACCTTGGTCTTCGTTATCTGCACCATCTGGTATAAACTCTTCAGAGTTCTGTAGGGAAGAATTCTCATTCTTATAGGCAAAGAAGTGAATGTCAGTCTAATTTAATTTATTGAGTGCTTCCAGAATTTCTGTTTTAGGTCTGTTAAGTTTTGTTCCTGTCACTTTTGAGATAGTTATACATGAAAAAAATCCAAAATACAAAGTTACCAGTTGTAAAAGTACAAAGTCAACAGTTATAAAAACAAAATCTTAGTTGAAGAATAGCTTGTCATGGTGGCGCATGCATCTCTAATCCCATGAGGTCAAGGCCAGCCTAGAATAGAGAGAAGACCCTATCTTAAAAGTCTTCCCAAAATAGTCAGGTTCGGTGATGCACTTGGGAGGCTGGAGGCAGGAGGATGGCCTCAGGTTTGAGGCTAGCCTGGGGTATAGACTGAGGTCAGTGCCTGAACTACATAGGAAGATCCTGTCTCAAAAAACCAAGCCAAATCAAGTCATCTGTTTTTCAGAGACAAATACACTGTTCAAGTTTGTTCAAAAGGAATTAATTTGCCTAGAAACAGATAAGTATACTCTTCACTGTGTTCCATCTACATATTTTAGTAAGAAAGATGAATACCTCCTCTTAGGAGAGCTCAGCTGAAGACATCAACAGGGTAGAGTTCATGGTAGAAAAAGGTTACAGTGTCAGTTTTTGTTTTTCCTTCATTCCTGGGATATCAGAAAAGACCAGAAATCTTTATTTTCTTTGTTTCTCTTAAGTCTCAAAGCACATTCTCTGTAATTATCTGTGCTTTTCTTGCTTTTTTTGTAGTCATTAAGTTTTTCCTTCAAGGGGCCAGGGAGATGGCTCAGTGGAATAAGCGTTTCCCTGGAAAGCACGAGGGCCTGAGTTCAATCCCCGGTTCTGGAAAAAAAAAAAAGTAATTCCTTCAAATATGATTTGATAAAATCTGGCAGATGTTAGCTCTGTTGGGGCAAGTTTACCTGAAACATGTGTACCTCCACTGCACTGGAGTGAGAGTTGCTGTGGTGCTTGGTGAGCTGTTCAGGGCACCAGCCATGTTCAGGGTTGGGCCAGGCCAGCGCTTGGCCCTTCTTGGTGCCTTTCCATTTTATTGTGCCTGCATGGGCATATCCCTGAAAACATTTTCATTTTTACCTAAAACTAAAAAAAAGCAAAGCAGGGCTGGAGAGATGGCTCAGTGGGCCTGAGTTCGATCCCCAGTTTCACAAAAAAGGAAAAGCAGATACTGTGATGCATATGCCCTCCTGGAAGGTATTTTCCACGTTGTTTTCCCCTTGCCTTGAAAACTTGCAGTTGGAAATAGACATTTTGGTTTCATTTGCGGTACTAGGGATTGAACCCAACGCTTCACATGCTAGGCAAGTGGAGGTCATTTAAATAAACGTTTCACTTGGCAGCTTTTATTTCTTTTTTTTTTTCGGTGGAACCGGGGATTGAACTCAGGTCCTTGCGCTTGCCAGGGAAGTGCTTATTCCACTGAGCCATCTCCCCGGCCCCGGCAGCTTTTATTTCAAGAGAATTGTCTGGCCTTGCTTTGTTGAGGTGGATGGCCAAGTACTGATACTGAAGTAACCTTGTAAACCATTTGATAATAGTTAAAAGAGGGCAGGCATAAATGTTGTGGTTCCATTTATAAGAAGTGGCCTAAAATAGGCAAGTCCAGGGACACAGGTGGGTTAGTGGTTTCTTAGCTTGCACGGGAAGTGGTGATGCACAAAGACTGCCTGCATGGGCAGGTGTAGGTATAACCCTGCAACGGTGCTAAGACCCTGGGTGCAGCCGGGCATGGTGGCGCATGCCTGTAACCCCAGTACTCCACTCAGGAGGCTGAGGCAGGAGGACCACATACTTTAAGACCAACCTGGGCTATACACTGAGACCTTGGCTTAAAAAAAATAGAAAAATATATCACACTGCAACTGTGGGCTTTCTAACAGGTGCATTATAATTGTGTCAGTAAAGTTGTACACGCACTCTGCAAAGTAGGGTGAGGATGTAGAACTTTCCACTCGGCAACTGTGAGATGAGAAATATGTAGTTGTAACACACAGTTCTACCTTGGGCTACCAGATCTTTCCTTCCTCTTTTCTATTGTAAGCTGTCATAAGGATGTTCTTATTCTACATGATTTCAAGGTTAATTTTAAAAGTATTAGGGCTGGGGAGATGGCTCAGTAGAATAAGGGCTTGCCAGGCAGGGGCCTAAGTTCAATCCCCGGTTCCACCAAAAAAAAAAAAATTAAAAGTACTGAATTCTAACAAATATTTACTTGTTTTTCTAGTATTCAAAATAATCATGAGTTTATACTATAATGTATAGCCTAACAATGAGGTAGATACATTGTTTACTTATTTTGATGATGAAAGTATCAAGAAATTTTTGCTATTTTACAACCATGATGCGAACTTTGAGCTGTCTGTTAACTTGTTCTCTTGCTCTCTCCCTCTTTCCCCATGTACGTCTCGTCTCGTCTTCGCCCAGAGGAATGCAGTAGCATGGATAGTTGATGGTGAATTGGAGCCCACGACTTCTGTTTAACTTAAAATTAGTCGTATTTTAATGGCTTGGGATTTGGTGCAAACAAACATGATTGATAGCTGGACAGACATGCTCGTCATGAAAAAAGAACCATTTCTGAAGCCCGCCTGGGGCCAAACATTTCCACCTTGCTTCATAGTAACCAGTTGAGATGAAGCGCATCGTAGAGCGCTGTGGACACCACGTTGAGTACCCCACCGGTTGTGAAGGACTGTGCTCCATTCAGGCTCACCACTGACTCAGTATATATTTTTCCCTCCTGCCTTTTGTCTGGCAGGACACCATTCTTGTTGCTCTTCTGTGTAATGAAGTTTAAATGCTTGTTTGGAAAACTTTATTTAACAGTTTAGAAGGCTGGATAGGAGTGCATTAGTCTGAAGAGTACATTGGATAGGAAAGAATTTCTTCCTTTTGTTTCTCAGTCTTTCCGCCTTACTTAGCTTGAGATCTTTGCAGCTTGGTTCATGGATTCTAGCCTTGCCCGTTGCGCAGTATATACTGATCCAGATGAAAAACCAGTGAACTATGTCAAAAGCACTCTCAATATTACATTTGACAAAAAGTTTTGTACTTTTCACATAGCTTGTTGCCCCGTAAAAGGGTTAACAGCACAATTTTTTAAAAATAAATTAAGAAGTATTTATAGGATTAAAGTGACTTCATTTGTATACATTTGGAATCTAAACCAGCTTAAAAACAGTTCCCTCTACAACTTAAATGTGCTGCATAACTGATGCGCTTCTGGAATTCCACATGAGACAGAGGCAGACAGTGCTTGGAAGGATGTGACACAGGGCATTTGTAGTCATCTTTGAAGGTCCCCCCCCCTTTTGTTTTCTTCCCAATGGAGTATCCTTATCTGATGGTGAAGAAATTCATGTTTCAAAAAGAAAATTTTAAATGTACCTACATGAGAAGTCAGTAGTTAATGTTTTCAAAAAGGTTGTGTCACGTTGTTTTCAGTTTGAAGAGTCATTTTGGTGTGATCCAGCAAAAAAGAAATCAGATACAAAAGTTCATAGCTTACATATCGATGTTAGAAGAACTCAGTAGATTACAAACATTAAAACTGGGATTAAAACCTAGTCCTTTCCCACACTTGCCCTTAATATTCTGACACAGGGATACATGAATTGAAGACTATCCTCCTCAGTTCTTTAGACGTTGCCATACTGAGCCTCATTACCCACTGGTGCTTTGTGGGGTCGTCTTTCCCGCGCTGGTTTCCTTCATGGAAGAGAACGTTTTCTTTTCGAGAATTTCACATTCAAAGTAAGTCAGCAGCCTGATTGCACATTGTGATTTTAGCCCCGGAGAGCCGAGTCCAGTCCAGGCTCCCGAGAAGCCCTGCTGCTCATCAGGAGGAGCCTCACAGGTCCCGCAGCCGTTTCCTTGGCATGATGAGTGCGGTGCCCCCAAAATGAGGTTCTTCTGCGGAAGGACTTGGGGTACTCTGATCCCCTCGAGGCCTGGCCCAGTGTGACCAGTCACACAGCTGGGACTCAGACTCTTCCAAGGATCAGAAGCAAGGACAAAGGGGGAGTCACTGAAGGGAGAAGGAAGAAAAACACATTTGGCCTTAAAATAACGGGCGTTCTTGCAGAAGCCGTAGCGAGAGAAAATGACACATTGGTCAGATGATTTTATCAAGTTGGTATATGAACTCATATTACTTTAAGCTCCATTTTGCAGAGACCACCACTTAGAGAATCAGTTCCTCTTTTGATACTTCTAAGTTAACTATATGTTACCGTTTATCTGGTACTTAAATTTTCTTGACTAAAACTACTTTTTACTTTAAGCTTGAATAAAAATCTTCATTGGTAACTATATACAATTAAATGGCAACTTGTCTTTACCTCAGTACAGTTGGAGCCATTGATTCCTGCGTGCCCTCCAGCCATCAGTGAGTCCACCTGTCCACGCTTCCAGGGCCTTCCAGGGGTTAGCGCGTGGTAGCAGGGTGCTTTGCACGTTGTGATGCCACTGAGCTCGGTGTCCCTGCAGCGTGACCTGCACCGCGCCCCCAGAGATCCAAGTTTGCAGTGTTTCTGCAGTATAGCTAGGAGTACTTGAGAGTAGGTAAGGCGAGGCACAGTCCCCAGAGCACAGCTCCTGCTGACATGGAGTGACAGCTACGCAAAGGCATCCATAGCAGCTAGGCTAGTTGGCGGCTTCTAATACACTGGTGTTTTGCTGTGCCAACTTGCCGTAAACGTCGGTTTCCTACATTTGCCACGCAGGGACTGCTAGAAAGTTAGAAAAGAGATGAAGAAACCTAGGACTTTGTGATGCAGCAGCCTGATAGCAGGACTTTCTAACTAGTAGAAATCACTGAACGCTTGCAGTAATGTTGTAGACTATCATAGGTTTAAGAAAGAGTATACTATCAAACTAGCTACAAGATACTAACAAATGTCAAAATTGAAAAGTACCAATACTTTTTGCACATAGCTCAAAGTAGATTGGAGAATTTTTGGCTCCAAAAATCAGGTTAGTAGGCTCATTTCCATGTGCTTAAAAAATGTTTTTGTTACTATGTTTTAAGGGCTAGAGCAAGAATGAAGTTAAATATACTTTTCTCAGAGTAATTGGTTGCTAATGGTCAGATGTTAGATTGGGGGACTGATATCAGTGTGTGGGTGGTGACATAGGATTAGGAGTTGGGAGGACAAAAAGCTTCTGTTTGGTTTTTGTACGTTATTAATATTCATGCCAGCTACGTTTCTGTTGCTCTTATTTTGGCTGTATAAATGGGTTATATTGATCCAGGTAAGTAGTTTAAGCAGAGGAAATTTTATTTGAAAATATCCCCTCAAATTGACCATTTTATTTACTGGGTGGGAGGACAGAAAAGGGATTCCCTAACTGATTAAAATAACCTGCTAATGGGAAGAAAAAAAGAAGTGTCGTCAATATTGGCCTGAAAAGAAACAGGAAGTAGTAAAGTGATTTTATTGTTAGGAGTATTCTGCCTCGAGAGTGGCGTTCCGTGACATTAATAGAAACCCTTCTGTCCCACCCTCCCCATCTTGGAATTTTCTTTTCTAGGATGTTGCCTCCTGCAAGCCAGCCCTGACCCTGGCTGCCCGTGGGTCACTAGCGCACATCTGCAGGAAAGTGTCCCTGTCACTTTCACAGCAGAAGAATGGCTGCTTTTGAATGGGGAGAAGACATTTATCTTAATATCCTTTTGTCCCATTTCTAAAATGTGTAACTACCCTGGTTTCTCATTTAGACTTCAGCAGCTCTCCTTCTCGGTTGCTACCCAGAACATTACTAAATTTCAGAAACCATAGTTATTTTAATATATAAACTGCTAACTTTATGAGAAGAGAATTAGAATTTACACTTGGACACTTTCTAAAAACAGGGTGAACGTAATTAAAAATCTTCAGTGTTCTTAAGCTATTGTTTTAGTAGCTGCCCTATAGTTGAAAAAGCAAAATCTGTAAGAATCTTTCCCTTAGCTACTTAGTCCAGATAGCCTGGATTAACAAAGCTACTAGCTGCGTGTGTGTGTGTGTGTGTGTGTGTGTGTGTGTGCTGTATGTGTGGGAGAGAGTACTTGGTTCATAGGAAGTCTTCACCCAGCTGTTCTGGGGTCTTGTCTGCCTTCCTCCACTTTGTGCACAGGTGAAGTGCCCTCTCTTGCATTTAAGGTTTGGTTAATACTGATATATTTTTATAAGATTCAAATTGTGTCCCCATCTTTAACTTAAAATGTTGTCAGGGTCACAGTGCTAGAACTGAATCATAACATTTTTAGGCACAAATGGAAAAACTGTTACTGGCCTCTTGAAAGTGTGTGGGGAGGGAACAGCTCACAGAAGCATGTAGGGACTTGCAAACCAAGCTGTAGAGATCAGGAGAACAGTCTTTCGATCTCAAGATTTCAGACTTGTCACAATTTACATGGCATTGTGGTGGAACTAGTTAACACTTAGAGCTTTTGGTATATAATTACTATTTGCTATGGACTGATTAAATGTTTCAAAGGATTGTGTTCTTAAATTTTGGATTTTTTTTAACTGCCTCAGATTATATTTAGTAGTTTAAATTTCGCTTTATTTCATTAAAGTATAAAACCTTCAGGCCTCTGATATTTATTTTCACTTGCTCTAATTATTTACAAAACACCCTTTTGTTGACTTCTGTTTTATAAATCTGCAGTATGTTACATGTCTTTACAGTTTTTGTTCAGTTGAAACTACATTACTTTGATTTGCATTACTGAGATTTTTTTTTAATGAGCTTTTCCCGTATCAGTGCCCAGCACTTAGCCCATCTTCATTTTCCTTTTCTTTCAGTCCAATAAACAGAGTGAATTCCTGATTCTTGGGGTGCTGTGTCTCCTTGTGTGTCCCCCCTAGTCCCTTGTTGACCTGGAACATATACCGTGCTGCCCCTAGCTCTCTGTTCGCCTCAGGCTTAGGAGAGGACTCCAGGGTGCCGGGGTCTATCCTGGGTACATTAGATGTTCAGCAGCACTGTTTCCTAAAGGAGTTACTTGCCTCATTTTGTTCAAAAATACTGCTGCATCGGAACCTCATTTAGAGATTGCATATGTTGATTGGTAGAGAAAAATATTTCCAGTTTGAAATGAAGTCCGTGCATAGCTAGCATTCCAAGAATTTCCTTGAAGGCCTTCCTTGGAGAAAGCATTCAGTGTACCTATGCCATGCTTCTGTACTGATGACAAAACCCAGTTCCTTCATCAGGATGAGTCATGATGGAAATGAGCTTTAAGGTGTTTACCTCTCAGAGTAGTTATAAAAAGGACATAGTGGTTGGTGGCCAACCAAGGACAGGTGGATGGGAGACATCCTCACGTTGGTGGGGAGTGCCTCTGCACCCCACCATCACCAGGGACCACAGCTGGCATTTTGTTCTTTAAATACTGTGCAGCTCCATACGTTTAGAAATGTTCCAGCCTTAACAAACTTGTAAGCACAGTTACATTTTAAAAGATGACCTAATTCTTTCCTTTAAGCCAAAGAAAAGTTGATATGTAAGTACATCATTTGTTTTTCAAAAAAATACCTAAGATTCAACTAAACATGATTCCATCATATCATGAGTAGTGTTGTCTTTTTTGTGGCAGTGAGCTCCCTGTACAGTAAACATTCTCAAGTGGCTCAAGCTAGTAAATCAGCATGTAATTCTAGCTAAGGTGGGAAACAAGGACAAAATAGATTTTCAGTCAAATTTAATCTCTCTTAGATATGAATCATGGTTGCTTTCATGACTGTTCAAATTGGCTCAGTTGTACCTGGGTCCCTCACATGTTATAACTTGAGACTTTTTACAATTCTTGGGTTGGGTGTGGCGGTGCATGTAATCTCAGCACTCAGGAGGCTGAAGCAAAAGGATCATTAAAAGTTCAGGACCAGGAGATAGCTCAGTGGAGTAAGTTTTTGCGTGGCAAGCACAAGGTCCTGAGTTCGATCCCCGGTACAACCAAAAAACAGTTCAAGACTATCCTGGGCTACAAAGTGAGCTCAAAGCCAGCCTGAACTGCAAGCAAGACCCTATCTCAAAAAGGCCAAAAAAACCCACAACTTTCATAGCCATAGACTACCTCAAATTCAAATGAATAAAATCTGCAGTGTTCTCAGACATTTGACTACATAGTTAAGTGGAATAAACATTGAATTGGAAGTTGCTTTTAAGTTTGTAAAGATTTCAACAGTTGAACAATATCAATGATGTTGGATTTTATGATCAACATCAAAACTAAGTCATTTAAGAGAAGAGACAAAGACAGGTGCATTTCTATTAGAAAAGTATCTTGGTTCTTAATGCTGTATCTTGAAAAATATTTTAGCTGCCCCTTTCCCGATGAGCACATTGGAATGGGCTCTGGCTTCATTAGTAGCTTGGATGGGTAGACCTTTCAAGTGTGTTACGTGTTCATGAAGATGCCAAACCAACCTGGTTTTAATTTCCTGTCTGTTCTGGTATTGCTGGGTACAAGGACACAGTGGGAGTACTTGAGGCATGCACCGCCATAGCTGGCTCCTGGTCACTTTGGTTTTAGGCTTATAAAAAAATACCAAATTGTTCAATGCCAAAGCATGCATAGTATTCCTAATTTGAAGTGCACATGACCCAACTGGAGGCTCTTCCAAAATTTCAAATTCTAAGCCATTTTTCAGATCGAGTCAAAGGAAAGATCTGGAATTTTTTAATATGCCAAGTAATTGTACAGTGTCCCAGCACAGTTCACTTCTTGGTGTTGGAATATGATACTACAGTACTGCGTGTTACTGCAGCGAGATCACGAATCAAAAGCAGAAGTAAGATCTGTGTTGAGAAGGCCAGCCTGCAACAGGAGTCCACACACCAGCCGGACGGAGGTGGCAACACTGGCGAACAGGCATTCATCTGAGCCACCCGAGGAGTCTCCTGCATTCTTAGGACTCTTAGGTGGCTGTATGGGGAGGTACTCTGTAACTGAGTCGCTACACCATGTATATAATCAGTATTCCCTTGGTCTGTACATGGCCACTTGGAAAAGCCGACGTAAAATTTGTAGCAGGTAGGTGAAAAGTGTATGGCCTTTACTGAATCTCATTAACCTCAGTTCACAGAAGATAACGCTTGCAATGCGCGAGACTTCATACAACTAAGGCTGTCAGAGCTGGCAAGATAGTTCAGTGGATGAAAGCACCTGTTTAGGCAGACACAAGGGCTGGGGTTTGATCCCCAGCGTGCTGTGCCACCACCCTCCACCCCCCAGGGCACACTGAGATGGCGATTGAGAGTGGGCATGGTGGTGCATGCCTGTAATCCCAGCGCATGTGAGGCTGAAAACAGGAGAATCACTGAGTCTGATCTACGTAGTGAGACCCTGTACACCCTGTCCAAAATTCATTAAAAAAACTCAAAACACTGAAAGTGGTATTTGGATACATTAACAAATTTAAGTGTAAATCATTTTATAAATTCCTATGTAGTTTAGCATGTGGTTTATGCTGGTGGTAGTGCACAGCTGTAGACCCAGCACACCAGAGGCTGAGGCAGGAGGACAGCTTGTGCGTTCAAAGTCAGTGTAGAGGGCCAGCAGATAGCTCAGTGGTCAGAGATTTGATCCCCGGCCTGCTATGCTGGCGGCCCCCCGCCAGGGCACACTGAGATGGTGATTGAGAGGGCATGGTGGTGCACGCCTGTAATCCCAGCGCATGGGAGGCTGAAAATGGAAGAATCACTACGAGTCTGATCTGTGTAGTGAGACCCTGTAGACCCTGCACTAACATTAAAAAGCCATAGTGAGACCCTAGCCATTGACCAGACATGATGTACAGACCGTATCTGGCTCTCAGTGTGAACAAATGTGAGTTTCGAGACCTATGTAGTAAAATACAACAGATGTGATGCTTGTCGTTTTTATCAGGGTGGTTGGGGAAGATGTGAGTTGTGGATAAAATGATGACTGCAGCCGATCCAAGTAGGGTGGTCTAGCCCTGGCCATCCCCCACCTCCCCAGACACAGCCTTTCCACGACCAGGTGCTGCGCTGCCCGCATCTGCGAAGTACACGAGCCGCTGCTGATCACCTCAGGAGACGTCCGGCAGCGGAAGGCTGCTTCACATCCAAGTTCATTCCCTGTCACTGCCTCTCTGCAAGACTACTGATTCCAGTGAATGAGGACTGTCACGGTTTGTATCTGCAGAGATACCCCTGCAGCTTCCTTCAGAAGGGGCTGAACCTATCATGTATGTGATGCTTCCCTTACTGAATTAGTCCACTCATTGGTTTGGCTAACTCTGGGTAGGTTAAGGGTGCCCCGCCTGGGTGTGAGTGATACCCCACCCTAATGGTGGGGAGGCTGGATAACTAGGACAGGAAGGGGTCAGGTTTTCCTGTTGCTTACCGCTTGCTGCCTACTCTCTGATGCCCTTCCATGAGAGCTAAATAAACCCATTGTCCTTTAACTCTGGGTGTTGCTGGCTTCCTGTCCCAAACACAGGGCTCCTGGATCCGCAGGTGGAAGATGCCATGGAGCAGGAACTGTGTGTGCCGCAGGCACGGTGCCAGGCTGGGCCTGCCAACCGCCTGCTGGGCACCTGGCAGGAAGCATATTTTGAGGAGCTTGAGGAGAGGGGTGGTGGGCAACCCACTTTGCAGGCCTTCCCTCCTTCATTTTTTTTTCAACAAATCTCTTAATTCATATTTTGACAAGACTCTAAAGTTTATGGGAGTATATCTCATTAGGAAACGGGAGTTAAATGCAGTTTTTAAGCCAACACATTTCGGCTAGGTTCTGTTTAATGAGCTGACAGGTAAAAGCACGCTGCTCCATAACTGAAGCAGCAGAGGGAGCCGCATCCGACTGCTTAGGTCTCAGCCAGCAGGCTGGCCAGGCAGGGCCTCCACAGCAGCAGCGGGAATGAAAGCAGTGCCTTGCAAGGGGCTTTTTCTAAACAGCTCCCGGGTGCAGAACTGTGCAGGCTCCTGCTCACCCAAGGCTGAGTGACCTTCAGTCCTTAGCAGAACAATGGCTTCTGCCCGTTAGAATATTCATGAAAAGTATGGCTTCAATCCAAAAGGCTTCACTGACACACCCATTTACAACTGGAGCCTTCTTAACTGAAGTTTTACTACCCCAAAATACTCTAATCCGTTACGTAGTCTATAGAGTATGAAACCCCAAGTACCACAGATCTAGAAAATAAGGAGCTCTACCCTGCTACCTATTTCTGCATGTTAGAACAAGTTTACCTAGATGTTTTGGCAGTTAACGCCTCGAAGCTCAGCAGTCTCCTCCCCCAGCCTCACAGTGTTAACACGGCTGCCTGAAGCCGGTGCTGGGCTTTGATTACACTGCTCCACCACACAGAAGACATCAGTTAGATTCCTGCTGGACAAGCAACAGAACACCGCGGGTCAGGCTTGTTACTCAATAGTCCCTTTATTGTTTCTATGTGCAAGGCACTGTGGCAGGTGCCGAGAGGACACAGACATGAGTTCGAGTGCACTCAGCCCTCTAGGAGCACACAGTCTAGATTAACTGCACTCAGGAACCGTGACAAGTAACAAGTCACAGGAGACCAAAGGCTTCAGGAAGCTTTTTAGCTTTCAAACCCAAAGCCAGGCCAAGCTGGGGCAGCTGGCTGGCTTCTCATCCCATGGTCCTTGGCGTGGCTGCCAGGAAAGGCAGCACAGGGCCTGCAGGGCTCTAATGGACTGCACTGCGTCTTCGCTCTCAGCTGAGGCTCCAGGTGTTACCAACAGCACCTGCTACTGTGGCAAGAATGGCAGGGGAACAGTACAGGAAACCACCGAACTCCGAACTCCCGGATGGAGACTGGCACGCAGGAGCATCAGGATGGTGGCCCGACGTCCACCCTCAGAAGGATGGTGAGGAGGGCGGGCAGCAACCAGGACCCCAGGCACTCCCACCTCAGAACCCTGACAGCCCCCAGCTTGTGGGCTGCAGATCTCAGACCAAGGGCTGTCCTCCACAACCCTCTCATTGGATACCATGCCCAGCAAACTGACCATCAGCCTCTTAATCACAGCTATGTGCAGGCTGGAGTTTCCCCACCCATCTTCATTTGTACAAGAGCCCTTAAAAAATAAAAAACTAGAGTGGCTCCCTCAACTCCCTTCCTGACTTGGGTACAGACAAGCAGTACAAGAGTGGGTTTTTGGGGCCAGGGAGATGGCTCAGTGGAATAAGCGCTTCCCTGGCAAGTGCAAGGGCCTGAGTTCAATCCCCGGTTCCGCCCCCCCCCACAAAAGAGTGGGCTTTTGCTTTTAACCACAGTTAGTGCTTCAGAAGGGAAGCGCTGCTGGTCTTGTTACAAGCAAGGCACCACTGTGATCTGCTCAGTAACCTGACAGATTAAACCCACAGCCCCAAGGCAAAGGGCCCCAAGGGCACTGGTTTTGGTTATTAGGACAAAATGTCTGCTCACCACTCTGAGCTACTTTAAGTAGCCTGTTAGTTTCTGGTGCTAAGGATTTGAGTTCAACAGCTTCACAAGCCTGAGCAGAACATAAAGAGGCACTGGAAGCTAAGGGATTATTTTTGAAACAGAAAGTGCATCAAAGGGAAGAGCTAAGAGATGCAAGCCAGGTACCAGCTTCCTGAGCCTTGGCCTGACAAAAATAGTGTCAGCACAAGAAGACCCATGGCCCCCAAGAGGCCAGCAGAGCCGCAGTCACTTTCCTACCTCGTTCCTCCCCTGTGTGTCAGGGCAGTCCTTCCACCCCAGATCATCGGCTGCAGAGGAGCCGAGCTTTGTGCCTCCTGGCTTCCAGAGCTAGACCTAATCCAGGGCTGGAAGGCACAGAACAATTAACACTGTGGGACCACAAACGCCCCCCCTTCATGTCAAAGGGAACGCTCCCTTTAGATTCCACCATAAAATCTCAGTCATAATTTACCTCAATGTCAGTGCTGAAGACAACATGGAAGCACCAGCTAGGACTAAGGATGAGCAGCTAGGCTCACTGCACACCCCAAGGCAGGCAGAGAGCTGAGGAGGTCAACCATGCTCATCAAAGCAAGAGTTCTTTACAAATCCAGCTCCAAGGAACTGCACCTGGTGAGCTATCGCTGTGCACAGGAAGTGGCTTCTACGGACTCCCACATCAGAGTAGTCAGTGCTGAATGGAAGGGCCACAGTCAGTCCTGGCACCAAGCAGGACATGAATGGGCTGTCTAACTGACAGTGACTGAGCTGCTTCTGAAGCACCCCCTAACAAATCACCTCGCCACATGTGTTAGAACGCACAGACAGCAAATGCAACTGCAGCAATTATAAAAATAAGAGCCAGCAAGAGCTGGAGGTATTGTATGACTGTGGGGCGACTGTGGAAGCAGTAGCTTTTAAACAAAAGTGCTGATAAAACCTTGGTTTTATAATTTATTTTTCCTTTCTATAATAATTACATTGTACTGGGGAAATGGCTTATAAGATTCACAGATACTGCAAAGAAAAATATATTGTGAAATGTCACTTTCTGTTAACATTCTTGTGGAAGGACTCTTAGCTGACAGCCCTATAAATTTTAAACCATATTACTGTATGAAGTTGCCACAATAAGGGCAAAAGGGGTCACTGACATTCGTTTTTCTCTTAAGCAAAGGAGCAATGTTGTTTTTGACTGTCCCGTGCCTCACCTCACAAGTGTCCCTTAAAGGGATGTCCCTCGTGCTTTGGCATGCAAAACCCACATACAGTCCTACATCTACACACAAATAACTACGTTCAGCATTTGGGCAATAACACCTTCACATGTTGGGCTAAAGGTGAGAACCAGAAATTTACAAAAACTCAATTCATATTTTTTAAATACTTTATATGGTAAAAATACAGCAAAAATAGTTTTTGTTCAAAGATGAAAATATATACTGCTATGGTCACGGTTCTAAGGGTGGTTCAAGCAGTCTCTGGCTCCTCCTCAGTGCACTGTAGTGTAGGCTGACTTCAACCACAGCTTCTCCAGCTTCAGTCATTTATCAAAGCTAATATCATACTGTAGGAAGAAGAAATTCGTGTTACATGTTTCCTTAGGAATCCTACAGAGTCTGCTTTGTCAAGAATGGCACCCTGGGGATCCTCAATGAACACTCATTGGAATACAAGACAAGGGATTATGTCAAATGGCAAAAACATATAAGGACTTGGGGCTGGGGAGATGGCTCAGTGGAATAAGCGCTTCCCTGGCAAGTGCAAGGGCCTGAGTTCAATCCCCGGTTCCACCAAAAAAAAAAAAAAAAAAAAAATACTTCTCAGTGACCTAATCCTTTCACTAAAAAATGAGTAACTGGGAGTGAAAGTTGGGAAGTATGACCTAAAACCAACTAAAAGTTATGTCCAAGGCATAGAGCTACTTCTCTAGCCAGCTCCCACGCATGGCTGCTACACGTGGACCCATCAACCCGTAAGCCCCTCCCTGGCCTTCTGACAGGCACTGTGGCCCCTGCACTGGAGGCGGCCGCTCAGCCTGGCACAGCCCGTCATCCTCACACACGCAGTGGCTGACACCCTGGCCTCTAACCCGCCTGTGAGCACCTCGGAGACAGCCAGCCAGACCAGGCCCCTTCTGTACTAACGTCTGTGAACTGCCCAGGACTGTGATGGCCTACCAAGCACCTGGCTTTCACCACAGGGTCTGTTGCTGCTGCTTTTGTCACCTGTGGACTGCACCATGTCTGATACACAGCAGTCACTCAGGAAACACCCTATGAAAACCAGTATGGTTAATAATGATAACCAGTGCTTGTCCTTTTATTTGTGGGATCATCCTTGCTCTGGTAAGACCAAATAACTAAAATGCACAGATATGCTCATAGTAATGGTATAAGTAATTAGTTGTCCAAACTTAATCACATCAGTGTAATCAGAGCACAACACAGACTGATGGCTAGTAGGTAACATTTCTTTTTTTTTTTTTTTTACATTTATTTTTTTTGTGTGTGTGTGTGTGTGTGTGTGTGTGTGTGTGTGGCCAGCTCAGCCCACCAGGGGGCGCGGCTGGCCGGCATGTAGTGCTGGAGGATTGAACCGTGGTCCCTGTGCTTTGCCAAGCTTGTTCCAAGTAGGTGCTTTAGACCACTGAGCCATCTCTCCAGCCCGAGTAGGTAACATTTCTAAAAGACGTTTCAGAGTCTATTATAGGTCAGCCATAAAGCTACGTGCTTCTCATATGCTATTTCCCTCACTGCACGCTGCGATCCAACAAGGCAGGCATTATTCATAGCCCACTTGCAAATGAGAAACTGAAGCAAAGAGAGGTTAAGAAACTTGCTCTAAACCAAAAACATATGCAGCAGAAAAGATAGCTTCATATTTAATATATGGGTCTGGGAAAACAAGTTATCCACATGAGGAAGGAAGTTAAAACTAAATCCATCTCTTTTACCCTATATTAAAGTGAAATCAGTACAGATCAAAGAGCTACATATGAAAACAGAAACTTTGAGACTACTGGAAGATAATAGAAGGAAAACACCTGAACCACAGTCATAGGCAAAGACTTCTACACTCCAAAAGCATAGTAAATACCACGAATCAGCAAATGGGATTAAGTCAAATTACAAAGGTTTCACACAGCAAAGGAAACAACAGTAAGAAGACAACCTGAGATTTGGGAGAAAATTTTTGCCAGCTATTCATTCTGAGAAGACTAGTATCCAGAATATAAAATGAACTCAAAGCAACCCTCTAAGCAAAATAACACAACCAAAAATGGGCGTATAAATTGAATAGCTACTTAAGAGAAGTACGTATGGCCAATACACACATGAAAAAAATATTCCTCGTCTTTAGCCTTTAGGAAAATAAAAATCAACTTCCATCAAAATGGCTATCATCAAGAACACAAAAAACAACACATGCTGGTAAGGCTCTGGGAAAAAGGAACTCTTACACTGCTGGCAGGAACATGAACTAGTATGAACACTACTGAAGTCATTCCTCAAAAAATTAAAAATAACCTGGATGTGGTGGCAAATACCTGTAATTCCAGCAGTTCAGAGGCTTAGGGGGGGATCAAAGTAAGTTTGAGGCCAACCTGGGCTACATAGTGAGACCCTGTCTCAAAAAATCAATACTAAAAAAAAAAAAAGCTAAAAGTAAAACTTCACTCAACCCAGTTCAGGGTGTATACCTGAAAAAGTTAAAGATATTAGACTACAAGTGGTAGGTACATATCCCACATTTATATTAGCACAATTCACAGCTAAACTCTGGAAAGAGCCTAAACAGCCATCAATAGATGAATGGATAAAATGTATACAGGGCTGGGGAGATATCTTGGCAGTCTAAGTGCCTGCCTGGCAAACACAAGGTCCCAGGTTCAATCCCCAGTACCACATACTGTGCTAGTCTCAGAACCCTGGGTGTGCCATGCTGGCCCCAAAACCAGGAATGGTGGTGCACGCCTATAATCACAGCACTTGGAAGACTGAGATAGGAGGATCACTATGAGTCTGAGCTGCGAAGTGGAGACCCTGTACCAAATAAAAAAATAAAGAAATAAAATAAAATGTGGTATATATGCATATCCACAATGGAATATATTCAGCCATAAAGAGAAAATTCGAGTACATTACTTGAGTCCATAATATTAAATAATTCAGACACAGTTAAGTATTTTCTGCTTTCCCATATAAGTAACTCAAATATGAAGAGTAAGGTAAGAGAGGGGGGTATGAAACAGGGAGGAAGACATTTTGGAGATGGGGATGGGATCCCAGAAAAGGAGGAGAAGAAGGTGGGGCATAAATGGATCAAAAACTATTAAGATGATACATGTACCAATTTCCCAAAACGAATGTGACTATCATTTATCATAAACACGTCCTGATAAGGAAAAAGGAAACATGCCCCAAGTTACACAGAAGTGGGAGAACTGAGTTTCTATTAATCAAAACATGAAGGGCACAGACGCCACAATTTTCTAAAGATGAACAAAACTGATTCTACCCTGGGCCTGCTGAGCCGGTCCCACCCCAGGGGCATAATAAGACAGCAATTGAGACTCGGTGTGGTGGCACACGCCTGTAATCCCAGCTCTTGGGAGGCTGTAAACAGGTGAGTCCAAGCTAGTAGTGAGACCCTGAACACCCTGTAGACTCTTCCCTAAAATACAAAAAAAAAAAAAAAAATCCCACACTGATTTTATTTCTAAGCCTTGTTATCTGCTATATGAAAGGTAACATGCCAGTTGTGGCAGGCAACACAGGAGCAGGATAAAGTCCCTACAATAAAAGCTGGTGTTTCAGTAATAAAATCACTATTAACAACAGCAACCAAAAGTGAAAAGCGCTACAAGGTCATCATCTGAGAGTGAATTGTCTTTCCTCTTGACTCCTTGAACTATGAAATATAGGAAGGGACTGAAAATGACAAGGGAAGAAAAGACAGAAGAGGGAAGGATGTAATTAGCAATGCAAAAAAAAAAAAAAAGAAGAAGAAGAAGAAGAAAGCAAGCAATGCAGCCACTTAGGCAAACCAGTCACACAAGCTTCCTATTTTCATTTCACTGTAAAGAACTGTTCCTTACCCTTGTCCCTTACTTATGCTAAGAATTAAACTCAGGGCTTTGCATGTGCTAAGCACATGTTTATCACCGCCCACTACCCCACTGCTTTAAAATTCAACTGAGAGCTCAGGAAAAGAACAGCAAAGACAGTTAGTTTTAAACATGCTGGTAACCTGAACAGCTAAGGATAACCAGGTTGCACACAGTAACTATAGGTCAGACAAATGCTGATTCAGTGGAATATATGAAAAATCTACCATCACTAGAAATTCATATAATACCCAAGAGTTCTACAATGTTAGCCTAAAACCTGAGTAAAGTAATACTCACCACAGGCAGACATGGCATTGAGGACAGCGGGAGGACTTTAAACTCACCTATAAAGATACATGAAGAAACAGAGCAAGTGGAAACCAAGTTTGATCATGGCTTCTTTCATGTGTGACTTCAGCTGCCCTCGATTGTGTATTTCGGTTGGGTCAAACACTCCCATGTTGCCACTTGGCACCATAATGAACCTAATAAGAATATACACATTAGAAGGAGAATCACATCAATAGCAAAGTAAGTAACCAATGATAATCACCTTCAAATGTGAGCAGCCTTAATGACACCAGCCTTAAATTCCAATGTAGACTGCCCACCATTACTTTTCCTGTGCAGGTTACAATATTGTTAACTGTACTGTGAGACAAACCTAGCCATATACCAGAGAAGGTTACTTTTGCATGCAGACCTTTACACATTATCTGTAGAAACCTACCAAGCCAGTCATCCCATATTCTTTTTCCATTACAATTAAAGGAAGTTTTTAAAATCAAGCATAAGCCAGACATGGTGGCACACCCATAAACCTAGCACTTGGAAGGCCAAAACAGAAGGACCCCTTCCAGTTCAAGGCCAGCCTGAACGCCACAGCAAGACCCTGTCTCAAAAACAAACAACGGGTGGTGCTGGGGAGATGGCTCAGTGGAATAAGCGCTTCCCTGGCAAGCACAAGGGTCTGAGTTCAATCCCCAGTTCCGCCAAAAAAAAAAAAAAAAAAAAAACAAGGGCCGGGGAGATGGATCAGTAGAATGAGCGCTTGCCTGGCAAGTGCAAGGTCCTGAGTTCAATCCCTGGTACCACAAAAAAAAAAAAAAAGTTAATTGTTTCAAAAATAAGCAAAAAATACCAAGCACAGATTATGAAATTCCCAGAAACTTCTCTATAGAGATTAAGAACTAGGGTTACTCTGACAGGACTAGTGAGACTGGGTATCTGGGCTTGAACATCCAGGCTGTAGCTGTCCTTTGTACGCCTCATATCTGAACCTAGTTCTCGATCTCCTGCTCACCTGTCAAGGTCCTCCTAGTACAACCCAGGCTTCCTTGCTCTTGCCACACACTCTATTTCTCAACTGTCACTTGTGAAATGCCAATTTATATCTGAATTCTACAAATCTAAAATTTCCCCCAAATGCTAGTGGCCCACCTATATCTGAATTGAGCACATTTTCACTTGACTACCCAGATAAATCTTCAAATAGTCTCAAAAAGTATTACTGCTGCTAACTACTAGGTTATCTAGAAGTGTCACCACTTTCCTGGTGGTCCTTAAAACTTCCTCTCACACCATTCTTCTCTGTCCCACCATGAACAGTCCCTTAGTCTTCTCCAATTCTTTTTCCTACCACTATTTTCAGAGTCATCTCCTTCCCCACAATCATGACCCTCTTCCTGCACTTTACTTCCTCTCCCTGTTTTCTCAACGGGTTTTCCTCCTCACTGGTTCTACTCCACTCCACTGACAGAACACAGTGCCTCCAAAGAAACCTTCCCAAAGGGTCACTTATTTCCATGTCAATTTAGCAGTTTAAAAACATATAAAGCAAAAAGAGAAAAAGAATAGCTATACACACATTAAAACATAGTATCATCAGTCATCAAAGCAAGGAAACAAATCACACTTAGATACTGAGAGGCCTGCCCTCTGGCATTTCCAATAGAGGTGCCTACGGGTACACCTGGGGTACCCAGCACACCCACAGTCCCCATTCTCACTTCTATATCTAGGTTTCACCCCGAGGTCCAGAGAGAACTGGTTGTGCTACGTCTCCACAGGACTGGCCCTGAGCAGAGTGAAAGGAGTCTATGTCAGTTCAGGGCCCCTATGGGGCACTGTTCTCCACAGCTAATAAGGCAGAGCAGTGAGACCTGGCAGCCTCCCCTCCAGGAGCCTGCCTTCTGCAGGAAGCACCAGACGTAGAACCCTCCCTAGGGGCTGGTGAGATGGCTCAGTGGTCTAAAGCACCTACTTAAAACAAGCTTAGCAAAGCACAGGGACCACGGTTCAACCCTGGTGGGCTGAGCTGGCCACACACACACACACACACACACACACACAAAATAAATAAATAAATAATTTAAAAAAAAAAAAAAAAACAACCTTCCCTAGCTCAGCTGCTGTCCAGTCCTGGCGAGGCCACCCTGCTCACCCCACCTCCACCATCTTTTCATGCTCTCTGTTCTCCAAAGCTTCTCTATAGAGTGGATTTAACAAAAATAAATAAATTAAATAAGTAAATAAAGTCTAAAAATAGAGTAGAATAGCAACCTACAAACATAAAAATAATTCTAGGATTGTCAAGATTATTCCATGGGGGCTGGGGAGATGGCTCAGTGGAATGAGCGGTTCCCTGGCAAGTGCAAGGGTCCGTGTTCAATCCCCAGTTCCGCAAAAAAAAAAAAAAAAAAAAAGATTATTCCATGGTTCTTTACAGGAAAATACACTATGTATAATAGCTCAGCCATAAAATTATACTGAATGTTTCCATGGTACTGTTTCTGAGCAAACATCCTAAATTTACAAAGTCAAAATATATGGCAAGTTACCTAAATTGCAAGTTTTAAAATGTAATTTTCTTTGCAGTACAGTAGTTTGTTGTTGGTTTTGAGAGAGGATCTTACTATGTAGTCCACGCTGGCTAGAAAGGCTTTGTTGCCCAGAGTGGACTTGAATTAACGGTAATCATCCATCTTTAGCTTTCTGAATGCTGGGGTAACAGACTTATGATACCTCACTTTGTCTCTTTGAATTATTTTAATTATAAAACACTCTAATTTAAGACAAATAGTGTTGGCCAGATAGCTCAGTGGATTAAAGCACCTGCTTTGGCAGGCACATGAACCAGGATTCCATCCCTGGTTTGCCATGCCAGCCCCACCTCCAGGGCGAGCTGAAACAGCAACTGAGACTGGGCATAGTGGCACACGCCTGTAATCTCAGCACTTGGGAGGCTGAAAACAGGAGGATAACTAGGAGTCTGATCTGTGTAGTGAGACCCTGTAGACCTTGTACTAAATACATAAAATGAAATTAAATAAAATAAAATAAGAGCCAGGCATGGGGGCATACCTCTGTAATCCCAGCACTCAGGATGCTGAGGCAGAAGGATCACTTGAGAGTTCAAGGCCAGCCTGGGCTATATACTGAGAACCTGTCTCAAAAAACAAACAAAAACTTCAAGTATAGACAAAGAAGCCTTATATTTATTCTCAGACCATTCTCAAAGGAAAATGATACTCAAGACAATAAAAGGGCCAGGGAGACAGTTCAGTGGCACAAGTGCCTATCTTATAAGCACAGGGTCCTGAGTTTGACTCCTGGTGCCAAAAACAAAATAAGACAAAATTAAACAATACATATTTTATAAATGTATGCCTTATAAGACATAGCCATTCACAAGTGAGTTTTTAGCTTCTTTCAAAGCTGGAGAAATAAAACTTTATAGTACCCTAAAAAAAAAACAAGACACAGCCATGCAAACTGACATCTGCCTAACATACCAAAGTGAACAAATGGCCTGATCTATTGAGGCATTTGGTTGTGCTTTATTATTGACACATATTTTTGTGGAAAGAGAAGGTTGTTACTTTTAAGAAAGGTTTAACTGTTCTAATTCAAAACCGTAAAGAAAGAATACTCACCGATATATATTCCAAGTGGCAACAGGCAAGTTGAGCAGGAAGATGAACCAGTGCAAGGAGACAAGCATCAGGACGCTGACAACGGAATGGCCAATCATTTCTGGAATCACCCACTGCAAGCAAAGGCCACACTATTACACAGCACTGACCCACCTATCTGCCTATACATGTTATCTGAAGCTAAATCTATGGTTCAGAGTGTTTACATGCTATCACTTCAAAACCATTTTTAGACTCAGATGTCCCATATCTGCATAATGGTGTAAAGCACTTACATTTGAATTACATTTTATCCTAAACAAATACTTGAATTTATTCACTATGCAGGTTTAAATAACAGTATTAATTTACTTTCTATTCCAGTATCTACATGAAAGTGTCTTACAGTAATGTGGGACGGCTGATATCTAAATAGTCACCTTTAAGTTAGAATATCAATCTTAAAACATTTTCCCTTCTCCAAACCCCGAGGAAACCATTTTTTTTTATGCTTTGATAAAATGCTTTAAATGCTTACAGTAACAGATGAAACTGAACTAGAACGGTAATGAGCCAGGAAGCCAGTTTCTGGGTCCTGGTCTGGCACCTGTGCCTCTCTGCTGCTGGCTTACTGGAGTTATGAATACTCCAACATCCCAGCCTATGGCAGCAGGGCTCGCCTCATGAATAGTGTTCCTCTCTTGACAGCACAGAAATGTTAAAGCAAATGAAGTTTTAGTGGAGAGAATTGACACTCCACAGGAAGTTCAAGGTCAGCCTGGACTACCGAACAAGAGTTTGTTCCAAACAAAACAAAGGAAAGACTGACACTAGGCTAATATTCCTGGTGGATTCTTTTCTGGAGTAATTTTTTTTTTTTTTTTTTTGGTACCAGGATCGAACTTAGCACCTTGTGTTTGCCAGGCAGACACTTATGCTGCTGAGCTATCGTCCCTGGAGTAATTTAATGACTTAAGGGAACACACCTACAAAACCCTGTCATTTTCAGGTACTCCACTAAAGTCCAAGTAGACACCAATGACCACCAATGATACCAACAGTCTACCAGTTGGTCAGCAATTATAGTCTACATCTGTCTAATTAGCTTTCAGTGAGCTTAATGGATAGCCTAGTATCACAAATTTGAGGGAAGACTCCAAAATGAAAGATAGCAGTAGGTGTGGGGACAAAGGGAAAGGAACCCAGAGAAATATATAATATAGGAAGCAGAAGAAAATTTCAAAAATACTATAATCATGGCCGGGGAGATGGCTCAGTAGAATAAGCTCTTCCCTGGCAAGCGCAAGGGACTGAGTTCAATCCCCGGTTCCACAAAAAAAAAAAAAAAAACCTAAAGAATCAAAAATACTATAATCAGTAGTCTCAGAATTATGCAAGTCAAACATAAAAGAAGAAAACAAAAATCTCTTAAAAACTAAAATTTTAACATGCATGCCATATTTATTAGAAAAGCAGATGATAAAGCAGTGGATATCTTTTTTCTTTTCCCCAGGAATCACACTCAGGACCTTGTGTCTGCCAGGCAGGCCCTTATACAGCTGAGCTAACTCCCTGGCCAAGCAGAGGAAATTATAAAGATGAGAAAAAATGAGAAAGAAGAATTGACAAATCGATTATCTAGTCAATGAAAGCTACAAGGTAAGAAGAGACAAAACAGAGGCAAAACACAGCAGAGCTGTGGGCTGCAGCTGGTGGCAGAGCTCATGCTTAGTATGCACGAGACCCTGGGCTCACTACAGCATCAAGGGACAAAGAACAAGGAAAAGAAAGTGGAAGTGGGAGGGGAGGGGAGAGGGGGAAGGGAGAGAAAAAGAACAAAGAAATTGTCATAGTGAAAGAAACTATCAGATGTTTAAAACTATGAATGAAAAAGGCCTGAACAAAAGTATCCACGCATAGTGGGGTAGCACAGGCCTGTAATCCCACCACTTGGGAGGCTGAGTCAAGGACTGCCACAAATTTGAGGCCTGCCTGGGCTGTAGTGAGTTCAAGGCCAGCCTAAACCACATAGTGAGATTTGGTCTCAAAACTTTTTTTGATTAAAACAAAGAAAAGTTCCAAAGACACCCAGTGCAAAACCTCAAAACACCAAAGACAAAGATTATAAACTTCCAGAGACGACAGGGGGAATAAAGAGATCACATAAAAACAGTAACAGGGCTGAGGGTGTAGCTCTGTAGCAGAACACTGGCCTGGCTTTTGTAAGATGCACCTGGCTAGGGTTCCATTGCTGGCACCATTTAAAAAAAAAAAAAAAAAATGGGGGAAAAAAAGAAATCAAAATGGTATCAGATGTCTCAATTGAACAACACTGGAAGTCAGAAGACTACCAAGCCATGTCTTTAAAATCCAAAAGAAAAATCTTTTCCAATCTAGAATCCTGTGCTCAGATAAGCCATCATTCAAGAATACGCATAACATATTTTAAAACATTAACATTTCACAAAGTTGGGCCAGGCAAATAGCTCTGTGGATGAAAGCGCCTGCTTAGGCAGTAGGCTGGATGTTCGATCTGCTGGGGGTTCAATCTATGCTGTGCTAGCCCCATGGGGGGAGGGGGGGCGCACACTGAGATGGCAATTGAGCTTGGGCGTGGTGGCACACGCCTGTAATTGAGAGGCTGAACACAGGCAGATCTGATCTATATAGTGAGACCCTATAGACCTTTACTGAAAGATACCAAAAAAAAAGTCCTTTTTCATGTTTCAAATTTCAAGAGGCTACTCCAACAAAAAGAGCTATAGTTGTAGACCAATACATAAAATCAAGGAATGAAAGGGCCAACCACACACTCCCCGAATAAAAATTCAAGCAGAAAAGTGGCCATTAAGAATACTGGGAAAGGGGCTGGTGAGATGGCTCAGTGGTCTAAAGTACCTACTTAGAACAAACTTAGCAAAGCACAGGGACCAGGGTT